GATACGGTATGAACCAGGAGGAAATCGAATCACTCATACAATCTCCAGATTCTTCGAATCGTGACGTGTTATTATTCATTTTACCACTACTCTTCTTGCCCGCATAGCAATTCAAGCCTAATTATTATATGTAGCTAATTAAGATATAAATGTGCTGCTTCCGCAAGCACAAAGCACTGTCGGTTTTTGCGGGTATTCACGATAACTCCTGACAAAAGAAAGAATTGGGAATTGGAATCAGAATGGGTTAAAGAATAGCATGAGGACTATTACTTTTGTGCGTGGTTGCTGCTTTTCAAAACAAATTTCACTTTTTATGACGATTTTTTCACAGGCGCTAAGCGACAAAATACACCGAAATTACAGCATGCACAAAATTTCACTGAGAGGTGGGGTTTTATTTTTTGTTATTATAAAACAAACGCAACTTTAACTGGCATTCTGTTCAGGGCTGACTCGTTACTGTTCGTATTTGCTGCTTTTTTACACACAAATGCGTTATTTTGTCAGAAATTATTTCCTTTTTGGTGCTAAACGACAGAATCTTGCATGAAAACAGATGGGACAACATATATGATTCTGACTGTTGCGTAATTTTTCGAAAAACCGTCAAGAAAAACTTATTACAACAAAAAAATTTGTGCTTTCTAAAGGAGGATAGATGGGCTGTTCTGGGTTGTATATTGGCCTAGCACGGCGTGTTCGAATACGAAGATATAATTTTCACCTCTCAGTCTGTATTCATTTGCAAAAGTGGGCCCCATCCGTGACTCCGCAGTCACGTATCATACTTATTAACAGAACTTATTGCAGATAAGTGAATTACATGAAATGAAGGATGCGATTGAAATAAACACTGGTTTATCTCTGATGCGACGCGAAACATGCTTTCCCACAATCTTCTTGTACAGCTATTCTTTTAATATGGCCTGCGTAGCAATTCTTTCTCTAGCCATTGATCGCCTTCTTGCCGTTTTGTCACCTGTAAGGTAAGCAGTAATTGTTAACAAATGCAGCAATGCCAGGAATTCTCCCGAATCAAAATCGCCCCAAATTTGTGTTGTTATGTCTTCGGCAAAAAGAGCGGTTCCTGTGCAAGACCAATTTAGAGAGTCCCCGACAATGCAGAGGAGCTGTCCATTGGATTTGGCGAGTAGGAGGTGATTCTGGCAACTTGTTTCGGCTCTGGCGATTTAACGGTCTGTTTTTTCCTTTTTACATGGCGAATAGGAGGATATAGTGACGACTCCTCGTCCTATTCGCATTCGGTTCCCTGTCCATTTTTACAGCTAAGGGATGAAACACAGACTGCAAAATTATCTGATCCACTGGAATATGTAATTTATCAATATCTTATCAGATTTTTGATCGAGCTTAATTGCGATAAAAATTTTTATGATTTAGGAGGAACCGTGTAGTAGACTGTAGTATGGCGTTGTACCTTGACTGTCTACGTAGTGTTGAGAAACAAAAGTATGTTTACGGCTTGCTGGTGATGAACCATTCAAATAGCAAATAAATGGCACGAAGCTGACACCTGGGATTTGAAAAAATTTGAGGGATTGCTGCAAAAGAGATGTCAGGCACTGAATAAGCGAACAGGAGTGAATAGGTCTGGCCTGCCAGCGTAAGAGCAGAAATCGATTCGAATGATGATGATGATGATGATGATGATGATGGTGTTGCTGATTGACAAGAGTCCGATGAAGAAAAACCCAAAGCCCTGATGGGAAGGGATGGATGGTTTATAAAGGTAAGAAACGCCCAAAAGGAGGACGTGGCAGTTTTTTGAAAGGGTTTGGAATGGGCAACTACTAAAACTCGGCTCGGCACGGCTCGGCTCGGCCTGTGCGTTTTGCACCCCAATGAGGCGCCTGCCATCTCTAGCAACACTATCTCGTATCGCCAGAGAAAAGAAGCAGTTGGCGACGTGCCAGAAAAATCAGGCAACGTTGCCCATGCAGGGAGGCTTGGTGCGCAGTGTGCGTGCGTATCGTGCAAGAATCCGCGCCGTACGCAACGAAAGGGGGGAGGAGGGGAAGTTTTGCAGAATTCCGGAGTTGTGCTGTACCCCTTCTGTGCTAGTTGAGTGACATGCATACTACTGCCATGAAATCTTCATTTACCACACTTCTTCCGTTACTCATCTAAACTTTATCATCATTCTCTTCCTAAGCGTCAATTTTTTCCATTCCCTCCCACCCATTCTAATGCTCTTCTAATTTCATTCCCTTACCTACGTTTCTCCTAAACTCATCCTCTTCCACAGCTATCAGCATTCTCTTCCTAAGCATCAATTTTTTCTTCCTAAGTCCTTACCTACTTTCCTAT